CCAGGGCCTGTCGTGGGGTGGGGGGTGCGGAGAGGGAGAACATTAGGAGATATACCTACTGTAAATGATGAGCTAATGGGTGCAGCACACCAACATGGCACATGTATACATATGTAACAAACCTGCACGTTGTGCACATGTACCCTAGAACATAAAGTATAATAATAATAAAAAAAGAAATACGGTTTTTGTTTTGGAGTACTTTTAAAAATACTTACAGCAGAAAGGTTGCAAAGATAGTATCCAGAAAAATGAATAAGACCTACTGTTTGATAGCACAACAGGGTGACTATAGTCAATAGTAACTTAACTGTAAGTTTTAAAGTAACTTAAAGAGTCTTATTGGATTGTTTGTAACTGAAAGAATAGATGCTTGAGGGGATGGACACCCCATTCTCCATGATGTGATTATTTCACATTGCATGCCTGTATCCAAGCACCTCATGTACCCTACGAATATATACACCTGCTATGTACCAGCAAACAACAACAACAACAAAAGATAGTACACAGAGTTCTATATACTCCTCACCCACTTTCCCCAGCATCAACAATTGACATCACCAAGGTACCTTTGTCAAAACTAAGAAATCAACATGAGTACATTCCTTTTAGCTAAACTGTAGACATTGTTTGGATTCTGCTAGTTTCTTCACTAGTATTCCTTTTCTGTTTCCTAGAGTCCCATCCAGGATACCACGTTGTCTTTAGTAGAGCACACTGTGATCGTAGAATTTTGGTTGTGCAGTATCGCACGGTGATGCGATAAAGACAGAAAACAACACTAAACAAGGCAGAAGCAATTACAAAGCCTTTACTGCCACAGTGTGAAATGTGTTTTCCTAGTGTCCATAAAACATCTACATGAAATTACTCTCTTTGGGTCAGTGTTGGAATGGAACCAGTTGTTGGTCTGACTGTGCTCTTGTACATGTTCACAGGACAAAAATTTGCATATCCCACACACCCTTACAACCCCTCTTTGAAACCGGGTTATGCTATACAATGAATCCTGATGTTACATGATTTATTTTACAGCATAACCTGAGCAAGTGAGGAGAAATGATGACTTGATGTTTTAGAACACAAAATCCGTCAGAAAAAGCAGGCTCCTATTCCAGCCAATCACACCCTGACTCTCCTAGGACAGTTACCAAATAGATTTACAAGGAACCCCAAAGCAGACCTATGGCTTAGTTTCTGAAGATGCTGTATAGCTCATATCTAGGACCATTTATGAGTCCATATTTACTGAGGCACTTGGGATGTCCTATATTTAACTTTTGAAAATATTCCCAAGTATTTTAACATATTTGGGAGATTGAGCATGGCTCAGACCTGTAG